CATCCTCATCCTCAGCATGGCCTTCCTGACTGTGGCCTTCCTCACCATGGCCTTCCTTGCCATGGCTATCCTCACCATGGCCTTCCTCACCATTGGGCCTTCCTCGCCATCGCCATCCCCACCCTCCGTGTGGCCTTCCTCTCCATGGTGTGCCCCACCATGGCCTTCCTCACCATGGCCATCCTCACCCTTCTTCCCTGTGGTCTGCGTCGTCATAGCCATCTTCACCATGGCCTTCTTCACCATTGGGCCTTCCTCACTACAGCTGTCCTCACCATGGCCACCCTCACCCCAGCGCTCCTAGCCATGGCAATCCTCGCTATGGCCTTCCTAGCCATGATGATCCTCGCCATGATGACCCTTGCTGTGGTCTGCATCACTGTGGCCCGTGCACCTTCGCTCCCCATGGGCTCTGCAGACAATCTCCTTCCACCAAACAGGGCTGAGAGCTGCCGTTGTCCCCACAGGGACCTGCCCTTGGGACTGGAGATGGGTCACGGCCAGAGGGGCAAGGAACTGGTGGAAGAGGTTCAGTGCCCAGTTAATCTGCGTGGAGAAAGGGCCTCAGTCCCCTTTATTTAGTAATTAGCACCATGCAGGGGTTACGTGAGTGGAGCTTTGCTCCCTCCTGCCCCATGAGTAGGTGACCATCCCCTCCCACCCAGGCCACCACTCTGGAGGGTAGTTCTTGCTCCTAGAGCTGGACCACAGATGCTGCTGGGCCGTGGCACAGCCGAGCAAAGAGCATCATGATAGGAAAGAGCTTCAATTACTCTGTGCTTGCAATCACGCTCATCCCCTTTATTTATTTATCAGCCACTCATTTGGGCCAGCAATTAATTAAAAATGCTGATGACCACCTTTACCACCACTGTGGGGGGCGTTGGGGCAATATTGGTGAGTTCTTGCATTTCTTCTTGTGGGGGAGCAAAGCAGGCTGCATCCCAGCCCAGGGGGATGGGGAAAGGTCTGGTGAAGGTCTTGGCTGCTGTGGGGCTGCGCTGCAAAGGTGGGCTGGTGATGGTGGGTTAGAAGGGGCAGTAGATACCACCACTATGGTGGCCACGAGGCTGGTCTCCCAGCTGGGTGCTCTTCCCACCCATCTCCTACCATGGCCAATGTTTCAGGCACTTGGAGCTCACTCTGAGTTCAGGCACCGAGCAGGCATCCGGTGGACATAGCAGAGAAAATCTCCTCTTCTCTCCCCACAGCTGAAACCATCTCAGATGGCCTCGCTCCCCTCTGTTCAGAAGGAGGGTTGTGCCAGCCACCGCCCATCTCCAGCCGTGGAGATGGAGCCCGTGACTACCTGCAGGCTGAGACCTCGCCTCTCCAAGGCTCAGAGATCCCCCTTCACTTGCTCCCATGGGTGCCTGAGTCCCAGGCAAGCCCTGCCGGTGGGCTGCGGGCAAGATCAGGGTCCGAGGACGTTGGGCTGGATCCGGTGCCACCGCGCTGACTCCAACTGGCCCCGGCTGCACATCTCCCTCCAGTGCAGCATCCCGGCCCCAGGGGCGTGGGGACCCACCTGCACGCGGCCCAGCGGGGAACTGCGGGTGTAGATGCGAGCCTGTGGCAGGAGATGGGCAGAAGCAGTGCAAGACATGGTTGATCGCCTTCAAGCAGAGCTAGAAACGCCCACTGTCCCCAGAAAAGCAATCCCACCCCAGCAGCTTCCAGTGGGCCGCAAGTTCCTCCAGGCTTGCCTGTACCCCTGCGGCACGTGGGGCTGAGAGCCCAGGTTGCAGGAGAAGCTCCTGAGCATGGGCGATCCAGACCACCTTCTTGGCCATGGTCACCGTCGTTCTGCTCACCTGCATGATGGTGAACTCCAAGGACAGCTCTTGCTGCTGGATGTCCCCAGCGGGGAGGTTGAAGAGGAATGGCGTGTTCCAGACGGGGTTGTAGCCAGTGATGGACTTGGTCTCCTTGGTGTCGATGACATGGCCGTTGTGGTAAAGGTGGATGATGACATAGTGGCCTGGAAATGGAGACAGAGCCTTGGTGAGAGGGACCTGCTCTGGACGCACACCAGGGAGAGAGGCTGGAGGTTCGTGAGCCAGGTTCCTGCAGAGCGTGGGCAGCCAAATCGGGGAGGCTACAAGCTCTCCCTGGGGCTCTGCAGAGCTGTGGGGAGAGGACGGAGACATGCAGTCCATCCTGGTTGCACCTACCCTTCCCTGGTTGGGAGCAAGGACCTCCAAAGTCCTCAGCTCCTGTCCCTGCCTGCATCCCAGGCTTTGCACGGGCTGAGGGAGCCAGGGATGGCAACAGCCAGCAGGACAGAAAGCCACGTGCTATTTTTTTTACCATAAATACGGTATTTGTGAGCATTTTGGGGCCGTGTTGAAGATACCTAGATCCTAGCTGTGCTACCGGCACTGGTGTTGCTTAGAAAAAGAGAAGTTCAAGAGGAATTAAGACTATCTGCCAAGCAAAAGGAGGGGAAGCCATTCCCTGTGCCCACCCGGGCATCTCCTTGCCCCCGGTCTGTGCCCCGTGCCCTACCTGGTGTGCCCGGCATGCGTGAGAGCCGGCCCAGGTGCTCTGCCTTGCGGACCAGCACCTTGATGCGGCTGGCCAAAGCTTGGTACTGGAGGAGAAGGAAGAGCTGGCCGAGGGATTTGGGGGGCGAGGAGAGCATGCTGCGGCTCACGTCATGGGCGCTGGAACACTGCAATGAGATGAGAGAGCAGGAGATGCTGTGAAACCACCTCCAACCTCATCCAGCCCCACCAGCTCAGGGATGCTTGTGTCTCACCAACGCGATAGGTGGGTCAAAACCAGGCAAAAATGAGTCAAGACGGTGAGTTTGATGCTTACCATCACCATGAGGACGGTGCCAGCTCTGCATTTGACCCTTCCACCCCCAGCACCCTCACCTTCAGCGAAGCCCCCGAGCAGAGATGCTGCCAGTCATTACAGTTGATGGATATTAATTGTGGGCAGCTCGTGAACCTGCACCAGAAGGGAGGACGCCCTGGGGATGGGGGACTGCCATCTCAGCACCTTCAGTCTCTCCTGCTGCCTCCCACCGGGGGACTCTTGGAGGAGGCTCTGGTTCTCACCATGGAGTTGTAAGGCTCTGAGACCAAGCGGACCTCAGCCAAAACATGAGGACAACCCCCCAAAGGAGACCGCTGCCTTTCTGACCTTTCTGAGCTTGGTTTTGGTGCTTGACAGCTCCCAGCTGTAGCTAGAAGGCACCTGGGGGTCCCAGGTGGCCTGAGCACAGGGGAAGAGGACCTCTCCCACGAAGGAGTCCTTGAGGCTGCGAAACCTGGTGTAGACAGCGAAGCGTAGGGTGAAGCTCCTCAGCTCCTCCAGGCTGTACCGGCCAAACCGGCACGGCTGCTGACGGGCAGGGTGGAGGCTACCACGCTGCAATGCCACGCGCCGGGACGCCGGGAGCCGTGGTAGAAGGTACACCTTGACGTGGCACCCCTGTCCACCCCGCAGCCTCTTGGGCAGGTGGGTGATGCCGAGGACCATCACAGTGAGCGTGGCCTCGGCCGGCGAGTAGAACAAGTCGCAGTGAAGCCGGGGACGCTGCTTGGGGCCAGTGCCGGAGGACAGCGGGGTGGGGGGTCCCAGGACAGGGTGGACCAGTGGGCCTTCCTCATTGCAGAGGAGGTTGTCTCCAGAGATGCTGCAGCGGCGCTGACATGTTCCTGCTGGCTTTGTGGAGAAGGGGAGGCTGGGCAAGGAGGCTCTGCCGTGGAGCAAACGCCCGTGAGATGCCGGTGATGCCGGGGGACCCTCCTCGGCCCGGGCAGCCAGCACCTCTCCTGCCACCTCCCCCCACTCCCAGCGGAGGTGGGGGCCCAGGCGCCGGCGGTGCCGCCAGCACACGGCGCAGCCCAGGAGGATGCTGAGGCAGAGCAGGGCCAGTCCTGCACCGAGGAAGACCTGCAAATGCGCTGGAGAAAGAGACAGGCACTGTGAGCGAGGCGGATCTCACCGGGGCTGCACCGCCACGGCTCTCCATGGGTGATGGAGCAACGGAGAAGAGCAAAACCTGGGTGCCCACCTCCCCTGCCATGCTTGTGACCCACCTCCCCATCTTTGCAAGGCGGGATTGAACTGGAGCATCCCAAAACCAGAAGGTGGGAGAGGAGCCGGCGTGGCCGGGATGGTGCTGAGAGGCTCAGCGTCTGCGGGCGTGGGCAGCCTGACATCGGTCTGGCTCTGGCGAGGCTAAAACAAACCTGGCCTCACCCCCGGGGATGATAAGGGTTATGGAAAAAAGTGGCTTTTATCAGCCCCGCTGCCGGGCTGACGCAGGTAGGGCACCACCGACGATTAGGCGCTTGCTTGACGGAGGCACAAAACGCACGGGGAGGCACCAGTACCGCCAGAGGGGAGTGGGGGCACCTTCAAGGGGGGGTGTCCAAACTGGATTCAAAGCGGCAGCGGTCCCCGAGGTGTTGTATACCCAAGTCTGGCCCCAAAAGAGGGGGAACCTTCTCCCCGAGCTGTGTCCACAGGACCGGTGTCCTGCAGGCGATGGGCTGGGCTTTACCCCTCCCGGCGGGGATGCCTGCGGGGTTTGGGGCTGCCCAGCAGCCGAGCAGGGTGACATCTCCGCACAGTGGTCATTTAAGGACCAGGGAACCAAAATCCTGGACGTCAGGGCTGAAGTTTCTTCGGAAACTTTTTAGGCTTTCGGAGGTGGGCAACAAACGGCGATGCAAACATCGCTGTGCCAGTGCAAAACCTCCCCACGGCCGGCGCTGGCTTCGCCTCCAGCCCTGCAGCGAGGGATTACGGAGAACGGGGACCGGACAAAGCTCTGCCGGAGCCTGAGCAGGGTTTGCTAAAGGATTCTTCATATTTGCGAGAGAAAAGCAAGCGGTGTCTCACACCGCGGGGCTGAGCTTTCCGACCCAGGTGCTTTAATCCGCGCTGGGCTCTCTTTCGCCCTTTGTTATTTGTTAGGGAACGCAGGTTGCGACTGGGATGAGCGGTGAATGGCGGCGTTTATGGGAGGGGGTTGGGATGGGAACGCGCCTGGAGGATTATATTCCAGCCCAAACAACGGCTGCCAATGCCGTGGCCATCCAGCCCTGGGGAAGCGAGTTGGGAGGGCTGGAGCGTGGCCACCCAGGGCGTACGGACCCCCGCTGGTCCGTAGGGCTGGGAGAAAGCGGGGAAGGTGTATAGCATCCCTTCGGGGGCCTGTTTTTGGGTGCTGGGGCAGCGGGGCCGGGGGATGCTGCGCAGGGATGGGCTGCACCAAGCAGGTAACGGGGGCTGGAGGCTGGGAGGGCTGCAGGGATGGCCCACAACGAGGTCAGGGTGGCCACCATGGGGCTTCCCCCTCACCTGAGACCAGGTCTCTGAGCACCCCTGGAGCCGGGGGCGGGGGAGACCCTCCTCCAGCCCACCACCGGTGCGGACACCTTCCTATCTCCGATTTTAAGGTTGCTGGTGGATAAACCCCATGGCAGCGCGCACCGAGGGTGTTTGCTCCCCCTCCCCGTTGCCAGAACCCACCTTACCTGCTTCGGGCATCTGGCTTTTAAGGCGAATGGCGAGGGGAGGTGAGTCCTTGAGGCGCCGTATCAGCTGAGCTCACCCGGGGAAAAGTTGGAGGAGGGAAAAGCCAAACCCTCCGGTGGGCAGGAGGGGAGGGAAAGCGGTGGGGAAAAAGCTCTGCCTTCGCCTGCCCGCTGCCGGGATAGGCTGGGACCGGAGCCCAGGGGAGGCGAGCGGCTCTGCCAGGCCGCTGATAGGCTTTTCACGGCCGCGCACGCATCTCCAAGGCAGCCACGTGCTGACGGAGGAGCCTGCGGGCAGCGCAGGCAGAGAGCGGGCAGGAGGGGAGAAGGTTTCTGCGGGGATGCTGGAGATGGGGCGAGTTTGGGGAAGGTCGCAGGCGCGCGCTGGGCTCCATCCCAGCACCCGGGGATGGCCGCCGGCCAAAACAAACGCAGACACCGGGGCCTCGGAAACGCTGGTACGAAAAGGGCTGGAAAGCAGTTCCAATCCAACCGCCAAACTGGTTGAATGACTGGAAAAACAACGTCAGGTGCTATGTAAATAACAAAACCACTGGGAAGCATTAAATGTCCTTTCCGTGCAGAGGAGAAGGTGACACAGGAGGGACAAAGGACAGGTAGAGGGGCAACTGTGAGCCCTTGGGGACACCTGGGGAAGGAGATCCAGCGTCACTCAGCTGTTTAATGACCATTCTGCCCACAGAGGGCAAAACCACATCAGGCCAGACCAGGTTTACAGCCCAGTTCTTCCCAGGAAGATACAAACTGGGAGCGTGAAGACCTGCAAGGACACAGACCTCACCCTGGCTGAAGAAGGGAACATCCCCGGGATGAAGGACGAGCTGGGAAATCTTTTGACTCCCAATTTAGCACAACAGCGGGACCACAAATCAGGCGCGCGGGGTCACCACGTGAAGAGGTAGAAGTTTATTGGAATATAAACATTCAGATAACGTGTAAGATAGAAAAAACCCAACAACAACATATACAGACACTTGTTGGAAGGAGACGTTGAGGTATTTATCCACCGCCTAGGCTATCACATTTCTTTTTTTTTTTTTTTTCCTATTTCTTTTTTTTTTTTTTTTTTTTTTTTTT